CCAGCCTCGCCAAGCGAGGAAAAGGTTTAGGAGCTTTGCTCCTGTCCTGGACCTTGGTTTGAGCTTGAGGGTGTAGAGGTTTAGGGCGTTTAGGGTTCAGGGTTTAGGGTTTAGGGTTTAGGGCCTAAGTTTAGGGTATACATCCCGCATGGAAGTCGCAGGAAACCCGTAAAAACCGAGGGGCCTTAATAATTAGAATAGGGTTTTGGGTCCCATTATACTATAACTATAATAAGGAACCCCCAAAGTAGTGTTGGTAATTATTTAGGCCCCTCCTCAACCCTAAACCCTAAGCCCTAAACCCTAAACCCTAAACCGCCCGAACCCTGAAGCCGCAATCCTCTGTGGAAAGGACCCTTTGCACCGGCAGAGCCCTCGAGACAAAAGATCTGAAGGCATGGACTTACTCCTTCTTAGGGTTTAGGGTTTAGGACTGAGGGGTTTTAGAGTTGAGGGCTTGGGGTTGAGGGTTTAGGGTTTAGGGTTGAGGGTGGAGGGTTGAGGGTTCGGGCTACATGTAAAGCCATGCTGCAGGGGTACTGCCAACCCACGTCACACAAGCCATTCGAACACAAGCCGCGGTCAAAATGATGGCACAGACGGTTGTAGAAAATCGTGATTCCGGAATATACTAGTACTAGAAAAGATGCAATACTGATCACAACAACATATCAACAATGACAGACACAATATCTTAGCGACGATACTTATAGCAATAGATCCTGAATCTTGAAACGATCATCCCGAAATCCAAACAGCCCCTTGAACAGAAAATGCTACGAATCCTCAGCTACACCCCGAAAGCCCTAAACAGCTAAACCCAAACATCCCCAAGCCTTTCCATGGTTCGGCTCTCCAGTTCAGGGTTTCGGAGGTAAATTAAGATCCTATTTTAGGCCCCCAAAATAGTACGGCACCCCTATAAAAAGACAATAAAAGGTATCCTAATTTGGGATCATCCCACTGGTTTCTACTATTGAGTTACCCGTTTCTGTTAAGGGCTCAGGGCATAAACACCGAAACGCACAGAAATTCTCATGACAACAGTTCGAAAGAAACTGGGTTGATGGCTCAGGGCTTGGCGGTTTAAACTTCAAGACCCCATGGAGTCGCTAGAATGTTAATATTTGTGGCCTACGTCATTGAAATCTCACCAAGAGACTTGAGAATTGATGGCTTTCTCGTAGCTGCAGGGCATAAGAACGAGGCTTAGGGCCTACTCATCCCTACTTCGGAGTCTTACAGGCCTCAACTATCGTGAAACTCTTGCGTTTCTACACTCTAGACTCTAAACCCTACACCCTAAACCCTAAACCTCTAAACCCTAAACCCCTTCACCCTAAACCCTAAACCCCTAACCCCTATTCCGGGTCAAGACCCTGAAGCCCAGCCAACACTCTAAGGTAACTATACTTATAACCTCAATTAAGGGACTGATAACCTTACTTACTAAGTCCCATGATCCTTGAAGTAATGGAGTCCTTAATAGAACCTATATATAGGTCTTGGAGATCCCCTGAAGAGAACGCTATTCTAGTACCCCTCTTGTCCCTTTACAAGGGCCCGTAAAGGTAAAGTTCCCCTAAACCCTAAACCCTAAACCCTAAACCCTAAACCCTAAACCCTAAACCCTAGACCCTGAAGCAAAGCCAAGACTCAGCAATTCCGCGTGGCTCTAGCTCCACCACTTCCACTCGAACTGAGGCCTCTCATCTGCATCGTCTTGTCCTTGCGGGTAGTTGTCAAAATTATGGTC